ACACTGTGCCTGGCACCTGCTGAGAGCCCAGCCTGCAGGTTCCTTGACAAACACCATCCTCCCTCTCTCCCTCAGTTCTCCACAGCAGCCCTGGAAGTTTCAGAAGGTCAGATGCATTCACTGCCCTGTGCTGAGCCATCCTCCGTAATTAGACGCCCCCCCCGTTCCTTGCCCCCGGGGCCCTCCAGGCTCTGGCTGCTTCACTTCTCAGAGCCCTTCCCAGCCGCTCCCTCCTGTCCAAATAAGGCTCCCTGTGGTCCCTTCTCTTTTCTGTCCCTGGCGCTTGTTAAATTACACACCAGCAGATGTCTTCTCCACCGAGCACCTGTCTGTCCTGCCGGACTGTGAGCTGTGTGAGGGCAGGGACAGTGCTGTTTGTCCCTCTTTGACATGTGGTAAGCCTTGAGTCAATGTCTCTGGGTGGCCTCATTCAAGGTCCCCAGTTGCTGCCGTCCTGTGAGTGCAGGCTCCAAGCCACCAGGTGACTTGTCCAGGGCCACGTGTGGTGACGCCCGCAATCAAACCCAGTCATCCTGGCTTCTGCCTGCTCTATTCCCAGCCTCCTAGCAACCGGGGTGCTTATTTAACCACATCTCAGTTCCTTGGTGCTGTACGTTTTCAGAGCCGAAACAAGAATCACAACATCTCGTGAAACCCCAAAGGGGAAGTTGCAAGTGGAGGTCAGCATCCAGTGGTGAAGGAGGGAGCTCCATCAGACAGCCCCAGGCAGGGGGTTCCCCTTCTCCAGGAGAGCCAGAGCCTAAATGCACACAGCTTGGGGTGTGGCCGGTTGTGCCCCTGGCGCTGGGAGGGGTGGGACCTAGAGGTGGGCCACCGGTGACTGGGGAGCAAACAGCGGGTGTCACACCTACAGCAGGTGTGCGGGGAGTGGGAGCAGGGGTGTTCTGACAAGTGAGTGGGACCAAGCCATGGAAAACTCCATGCCAGCCTGATTTCCCGACATGCCTGCCCCTGCGCATGAACTCCAAACTCGGGGGGCTGCGGGGTGGGGGGGGCGGAGGGATCCAAGCCCTGGGGGGTCATCCAGTGAGCCAACAAATCCTTACTAAGCTCCTACTGTGCGCCAGCATTTTCGCCGGCTGAGGATATAGCAGTAGGTGACAGTGTTGCCTTCGTGGAACACATTCTAGTTAGGGAAGGCGGAAGGAAACATGGTAGTGGAGAAGTAGTTTGGGACATTGACACGTGCTTAGGGGCCTCTTTCCACTGCAGTGCCCGCAAAGGGCCTGAGATCCACGTGACAGAGCCACCACCACGTGCAGACTAGGGGGTGGGGTCCCCGGTAGACGCTTCAGCAGAGGCAGCGGCTCCCAGGTGGGAATGGGTTCGCGGGGCTTGCCGGGGTGTGCACGCCCTCCAACTCCGTGTTCAGTGACAGCACGTTAGCCTGAAGCCGGCCGTGAGAGAGCGTTTACACTGGGGAGATTGGCAAACGCTGCAAATCAGGACCCTCCCCCTGCCCCGCACCCCACTTGGGAAACGTTTAATAGTGCACCTGAACATTGGAAAGGAGGCCATGGGCAGAGGGGAGGAGGGAGGGGAGGATGTTATCACAGAGGCAATAGCTTTGTTCTCTTGCGGGGAGAAGTCTCTGAAGGGTTTAAGGCAGAGGAGTAATGTGATTTGACGTTCACTTTGCCAGACAGATTCTACAAAACAAAGACTTGGGGCCAGGGAACAAGTACATGTGGGGAGGGGGAGGAGAGACTGATTTATCAGAACTGGGGCCCGGGCACGAGCCAAAGGCACAAACTAAGGAGAGCCCCACTTACCACAGGGGCAGCTTAAGACCATGTGTCTGCTGAGATGGCTGGTCTGGCTCGGGGGTGGGGGGCGTAGGGGAGAGGGCCGAGCCTGCAGGTGCTGCCTCACCCATGCAGAGAAGGCCCACAGAAGCCTCTGCTACCTGCCACGGGGGCAGCCAAGCCAGCTGGCTTTGTTTCCAAAGGGAAGGCAGCAGCAAGCTCTGGAAGCGTCTGCATCCTACAGATAGAAACTGTGGTTTACCCAGCATGTTTCCTGGGGAGATGAGTGGCTCCAAAGTGGCTGTGAGTCTCCAGGCCAAAATGGCTACATTCTTGCCACTGGTGAGTTCCACGTGGCATCTGAGCAGTAACCATAACCCAAGCCCCATGCTGTGATGAGAGCAGGAGCTTCTCCACCTCTGCTGTGCATCAGAACCCCTGGGGAGCTTTCCCCACCCTGGATCAATTAAACCCAGAGGTTCTTCTGGGGGTGGGTGGGACCCAGCCTCAGCATTGCTGAAAGCTCTCCAGGAGATTTCAAGTTGTAGGCAAAGTTGAGAACCACTGGATTGGAAGAAATTTCTGTAGAGTCAGAAGCCAAGTATTTTTCCACATCGTGTCTCGGGGGTAGATCCTATTAACAAGCAAGTCCGGGCGTAATGGCCTTGTGCCACTCCTTTGGGCGCTAAGTGAGACCCGGCAGGCTCCTCCGCCGGGTGAGTCCCCGACCGCAGCCAGAGGCTGACTATAGCCTGACCCGGCTAGAGCACTGGTTCATCTACGTTAATTGTGGGCTGATTAATGCAGCAGCTGCCGCATTCCCAAAGGATGTTAAAGTGCTTGTGCCATCCTTTCTGGAAACCCTGCCCCTTTTGCAGATGGGAGTTGACTATTTAGAGGTTCTGGCATAATCCTCAGTAGCTGAGAGAAAAACCCATCAGCCGACCCCAGAAGTGTCAGGTGGGCAAGTGGAATCTGCCCGGATTGATGTCTGATCTAGAGCAGGTGGCTGGGCAGTCCAGGAAGCAGCGAAGAGGGTGTGAAACATGTCTGTTATATTTTTAGGGAAAGGGTAGAGAGAACAGATACCAAAGGCAAATGAGGTTAATGCTGGTATTTTGTGTGCTGCTCAAAGAATAAAATGGGTAAGCATGGCAAAACAAGCTGGCACAGTTCTGCCCCTTCACAGCCTGGCAGAGAGGAGTGGTAGAAAGAACATAGGCTTTTGAATGAGGTGTTCACTCCCGTCATACACATTTACCCGTCCCTGTTGAGTACCACCAGGCTGAGATATGGACCAGGGTTCTGCCAGGAGCAAGGTGGACGAGAGGAGGAGAGAGCCAGGGACCAAGCAAACAAGTGAATGGCAAAACGATGGCATCCTGTCGTGAGCAGTTACAAACCAGTGCTAGTGATGGTCAAGTGTGCTGTGTGGTGAGGGGCCGGTGCGGGTCAGAGGGCCCAAGTAGGGGAGGCCACCCTAGGTGGCATGGAGGAGAGGCCTCTTTGAGGTGATGTCTGTCCTGAGACCAGGGCATGACCAGCAGTCATGGGAGATCAGGGGAGAGCCCTCAGAGAGAGGGTTGGCAAGGCCAAAGGCTCTGAGGCAGGAAGAATCAGGTGCTGCCCGAGCATGGCGGGAAGCCCCTCGTGAGGACAGGGAGGTAAGCTGGGGAGCGGGGGGTTGGCCAGAAGGAGTGGCGAGGCAGGCAAGGGTCAGGTTGTCTTATATTCTGAGCCCACTGGTGGCCCGCTGGAGACCCAAAAGCCGGCAATGACATGCTCAGATCTACATGTTACCAACTTGCTGTGCGACTTGGGCCGTAAACTTAACTTCTCTAATTTTCATTCTCAGCTGTAAAGAAAACAAAGCCTAAGATGACGATAGGGTTAGAAATCTCGTATATGGAATTAACAGAGGAAGTGATGCGTCATGAATACTCAGGAAAACGGCAGCTGTGCTTCTCCCCTCTCCCCCTCCCTTCTCCGCTCCCTCTTCCCCCCCTCCTCCCTCCTCTCATTACTGGCAGAAATTGGATGGGTGATGCTCACGGCATTCACTCTTTGCCCGAAGGAGAATCTAGCATCCCGTGGGTCGTATGCCAAGACTAGGAGTCTTGACAACTGTCTGTTTGAGAGTCTAAATGCTCTTTCAATAACCCCCACCACCAGCAGGCTGACTCTGGCTAGTGTAGAAGCTGGGGCGAGCCATAGCATGGTGGTGCTACTGTTGGGGTCCCAGAGTCGCCCTGCCACATTGGAGGTTGTCTGGGGTGACTGAGTGCTCAGCCAAGCTCTGCTTCAGAATCCTGGGGCTTCTCCTGCACAGACCTAAGGTGCAAAAGATAGCTGTTTCTTGTAAAACCTCACAACCTTCCTTCATTCAGAGTCTCCACCATGAGCTCAAAACCCTGCTAGCTACTAAAGAAAAGGCAAAGGCGAAGTCTTTGCATGTCCTCGAGAAGGCTGTAACTGGAGGTGGCAGTAGGCAGAAAACCGCGGCCGCCCCTGCGTCAACAGAGGGATTACAGAAGCCCCGAGGAGGGGAGAGACTTAGCGGAGCCTGCTGGGGGCTCTAAAATCCTCCTCAGAGGAGGGAACCTCCGGGCTGGGCCTTGAAGGAAGGGGAGGAGTTTGCCAGCCGCAGAAAGGGGGACGAGAGAGAATACCAGGTGCACAGGTGAGGCGAGTTCCAGCAACCCCGAGAAGTAAACCATCGCCCCACACACAAATGGAAAGAGCTGGGTGTCAGGAGTCTTCTCATCACCCGCGACAGGAAACAGCACAACCGGAAGCGGGGGCGGGGGCGGGGGCGGGGGGGGAAGCGCGGGCTTCAGGTCGGGCTGGATTCAGGGCTCCAGCACCCTCTTTAGGACTTGCTGTCCCTTCCTGATATGGTCTCTCCTGTTGGGTTGACTCCTCTGTTTCAGCCCCAAGGCTGGAGCCCCTCAAGGCCCACAGCCTCTGCAGCTCACACCTGGCGGGAAGCTGAAGCCACTTTCTCCTGGCTACCTCGGCCAGAGCTCCAGGGTCCGCTCTGATCGGCTTGAGTCCCCTCCCTGTCCCCGAGGTAACCACTATGGCCACGACCACGGCGTGTCCTGGGGGGCTGAGGGCTGCCTCACCCACGATTTGGTCTTCCACTCGTTGCTGGCATCCTGAAAACTCTGTATTGCTCAGGCCGTGCTTGGCGCTCTGCCGCCTTCCTAACCTGGCTCCCTCTCCCCCCTGCAGGGCCCTCATCTTTGTGTCCCATGGAGCCGGGGAGCACTGTGGCCGCTATGACGAGCTGGCTCAGATGCTGGTGGGGCTGGGACTGCTGGTGTTCGCCCACGACCATGGTGAGTACCCCCCAGGCGACAGGGCCCACGCTGCTGGCCGGTGCCCAACAGTTTGGGGGACCCCCCTTTCTATCACCCCACCTCCCTCGTCCCTCCTCCCCTGTTATTCTCCTGTGATTCCTGCAGTGACACTGGGAAAAGACATTCTCCATGGGATGTTTCTGAGTAAAAAAAATAATATGTAGTTATGTAAACAAAAAAATGTCTGACCAGCAGTTTCTGTTGAGTCTGGGATTGAATGCAGGCTGATTAGAAATCTCTACTGAAAAAAAAACCAAAGCCAGAATCTGTTTATACAAGAACTTGCCCGAGGCCAAGGAATCCTCTCTTGCATTTATAGACCACTTTCTGCACAAAACGGGCCCCGGTTTTCTCCCAAGGGACTTCAGATGGATGTGGTGTAGTCAGTGCAAGCACAATTCAACCCCTTTCACCACAAGACACTTACAAAGCATTTCAAACCAGAAGAATAGGAAAAATCTCAAAGGCCATATCGGTCACAAGAAAACCCCAAACAACACACACACACACGCACACACACGCACACGTGCGCGCGCGCGTCCCCAGGCCGATTCCTTGTCCTTTAACGAAATCCTCAACGACCGTCAAAATGCAATGTTTATTGTCTAAGCCCGTATGTCATCCCCTCATCATTTTTGTGACATTCTTCATGGTTCTGAAGGCTCCGAATTTAGATCTTCCCTTGCCTTACGGTCTTTAAGAATGAAGTGTTCCCTGTGACTGAACATGGTGATTTCTCCACAGCTTCCATGTAGAAATCTATCTCCTGGCTCAGATCCAGCAATGTGGCTGCTATTTTATGTGATTTGAAAATAGATAATTAAGTGGCATTGCTGAAAAGAGGGAGAGGGGACCAGTGACAGGGCCTGGGAGTCCCTGAAAGGGAGGCAACGCGAGGAGCAGGGGAAGAGAAGCTTGCTGAGGCGTCTTGTATATAAAGAAGTGGAAATGTGGATTTACCAAGAGCCCTTTTTAAGCCAGATATGTGCAAACATCTTCATAACTGGGAATATTGACTAAATTCTTTCTTATTATGGTTGTAATGTTCTTTAGTGCTTTGCAAATGGTTCTGGTAATATTTGTGAGGCTGTTTGAGATGTAATATTTGAGGACTATCCCGATTTTCACTATGGGGACCGTGTCAATATGAGCTTTGGCACTTTGTGCAGCATGTAAAGGCCCAAGACGGGAATGCTTCTCTTCCTGTTGTCTTTGTTTCTGTTAATGTTTGTTGCAATCATCCCCTCCCTCTTCAAATTGAACAACCTAGGGACATGCTGGAAGAAAAGGATAATCATACTTGGCAAATACCGAACCCCTTTACCCAGAATCTCAAGGAGATATGAATCTTGGAGTCTGTTACCTTCTTATGAGCTCCCCTTGGCCACACCTGTGGGCCACACCTGCGGGCCACACCTGCTGTGCCCTATTTATTTTGTCTGACTGCAGGACTTTGAAAAACGAGTTTAAAAGACTTCCTTGTTGGGCGCCTGGGTGGCTCAGGTGGTTAGGCGACTGCCTTCGGCTCAGGTCATGATCCTGGAGTCCCGGGATCAAGTCCCGCATCGGGCTCCCTGCTCAGCAGGGAGTCTGCTTCTCTCTCTGACCTTCCACCCTCTCATGCTCTCTCTCTCATTCTCTCTCTCTCTCAAATAAATAAATAAAATCTTAAAAAAATAATAAATAAAAGACTTCCTTGTTTGAGGAAAAGGAGAAAAGAAACAGCCCGCCTTTTGATGTTTCCAAAACAACATGTAGGGTGGAGGCATAGCTTTCTGTGACGTTCTAAAGATAGTTCAGAAGCGGTTGTTGATGTTCACCTGTTCTAAGTTCCTTGATTTATTGTCTTCTTCCCGCGACTCATTGGAAATCTCTCTGGCTAGTGCCAGAGGGATGTGTTTTACCCAAGAAATGAATCTGGTTGAATGTGTGTGTGACTTTGGTGGTCATCTACGGATGAAAGTGACGGTGGCTTAGTAGGAGAAAGCCGCATGAGTGGGCTGTCATTGCGGGGTCTTGTGCCGGCTGGAGAAGGGGATCCTGGTGGTTAGTGATCTGTGCTTTATTCCTTCTTGCTGAGACACGTGGAGAAGGAGCGATTCAAACCCAGAACTGCAGGTTCTTGATGACAAGATATGGATGATTCAGTATCCATATACCAGGCATGAATACATACAGAGACATATGCAGGCTTCATTCTTTCCTACATAGATTTTCAATTTAAATAGAGCAGAGAGGGGGAGAATGCTGGGTATTTACTGGGCCAGTTGGAGGTCCACAAAGGATTATTAAAAACGTGGAGCTGAGGGCGCCTGGGTGGCTCAGTCGTTAAGCGGCTGCCTTCGGCTCAGGTCATGATCCCAGGGTCCTGGGATCGAGTCCCACATCGGGCTCCCTGCTCTGTGGGAAGCCTGCTTCTCCCTGTCCCGCTCCCCCTGCTTGTGTTCCTGCTCTCGCTGTCTCTCTGTCAAATAAATAAATAAAATCTTTAAAAAAAAAAAAACGTGGAGCTGAGAAAGACTGTTCTACAGCCTGTGGCCTCTCCAGGACCAGCGTGGCCTCAACACCCCCGCCCCCCCCGCCGTGTATTCAGGCACATTGTCATCCTGCACTCCTGGGCACTGTCAGAGGTGTGCTGCTAGAACCTTCATGCCAGACAGCAAGGGGGCTCAGGTGCAAACACACCTGGGTCCCAGTGCCCGCTGGGCTGCGATTCCAGACCTGAAATCCCAGACGCTGTACTGAACCATTCCAAGCCTCTGTTTTCTTATCCACCAAATGGGCAAGGCAGTGCTGTCACACAGCCAGGATTGCTGTGACATAATGCACAGAGAGGGCCCGGCAGAGCACGGTAACATCTCCCCCCGCACTCTGCCCTCTCCCAGCCCCACTCCAGCCACCATGCAGACCACCTGCTGTGCCGGGTACCCACATGGGGGGCTCCAAGGCTCTGAGCAGGACCAGCTAAGCCAAGGCCGGGCGCCAGGGGTGCTGCATTCTGGGGCCCCTGTTGCTGCCCCAAGCCTGGTCCTCTGTCTGGGCCGGAAAGGCCCAGAAAGGCTGGTGCGAAGACAGATGTGCAGATGCTTTACAAAGTGAACAGAGCTGCCCCTGCTGGTTTCTACAACACAATTTATAGAAATGCATGTTTCTATAAATCAGCTGCTAACTTGATTTCAACTTCAATCTCGTTGTCCAACTATGTTAATACTTCATTGTTTAGGCAGTGATCTTGAGACGCTGTGGTTGTAGCAGTCTGGCTGTGTTTCCCAGTGTGCCCAGGAGGCTGGCAAGCACAGAGCGTGCTCAGTTAGTAGCTCATTGAACTCTGCCTTTTTAGGATTTTACAGGATGACCGCATGGGCGTGAACAGCTTGCCAGAAATGAGAACTATGATTCCTGCCATTGGTTCAGTGGCACTTCTGGTACATTCTACCCCCTCTTAACGATGAATATTATGACCCTGTTTTAGAGGTGAGGATTCTGAAGCTCTGTTGCCAAGGGAGCCCGTTCTCATTGCACGGAAGCACTCATCCCAGTGAGGGGCGGTTTATATGCAACAGAAGCCAGACCCAAGGAGCCTCACAAAGTTCTCAGCAGGAGGGAGATGTGGGGTGCAACATGGAGGAGGGGCCTGGGCTCATACCAGGAAAGCTCGCCGGCATATTCCAGCTACATCTCCTTGGCTGGCACTGCATCTCATGGTCACACCCCTAGCTGCAGGGGAGGGCAGGGAAATCTCATTGGTTCCTGGCGCATTTGCCGCTACCAACAAAACAGGCTTCTGTCAGTAAGAAGGAAGCCGAGAAAGGATGTTGCCAGTAGGCATCTGCCCCTCTGCCACGCCACACCCCCAGATTTGTCACGGAAAGGGGCATTTCCCAACCATTTCTACTGTCTGTGTTTTTTGGATATAACAGCACCTCCTGTCTATCTCATCCATCCTCTGTTCTTTCATAAGGTTTTGATGCAAAGGTCATTATTAGCAGCATCGGTAAGTAGTTGTTCCCAATTGTGCAGTAGGCCTGGGTTAAGTGCCATGCAAGGACAGATTCACGGGCACAGAAACTGACGTGCTGATGGTAGAGCGACCTGTCTTCCCCAGAAAAATTAAGCGGCCCCTATTACGTGCTCAGCTTCATTATAGTAATCAGTATCCTGGGTGGTAACTCCTTCCTTTGGAGGAGACTGTCTTACTGAGTCATCGTGTCAGCCCCTTGCTCTCCCCCACAACTTTTTCGTCTGCTGTGTGGGGCCCAGCCCTGAGGAGAGGGGAGGCATCATCGGTGTTGGCTGAACGGAAGAAGGAGTTTGTGATCCCAAACCCACCAGACCAGAAACGTTTTAAACATCCACAGCAGAACATCCACATAAGAGTATCCATATCCGCAGGGCACTGTTGGGTCTCATCCCTATGGAGGGGACCCAGCAGAGTGGCCGTTGGAACTCGGAGTCTGGTGGCCAAGATTAGGACAACGGTCCAGTGAAGCTTGAAAGTGATGTGGATGGAGGCCGGAACAGAGGAGGCCTATAATTCAGGTGTGCCGAGGAGGGGGTGGCGCCACAGAGGTACACAGGCTTCCCTGATGCCCAGAGCGCTGGCACGGTGGCTGGGTCTTGTCGGGTGAGTAGGAGCCTGCCAGGAGAAGAAAAGGTGTGGAGAAAGGCACCCATCATTGAGCAGTGGCTCTGACCTCGACTGCCCATTGAAATCCTTGGGGAGTCTTGCAAAATACGGATGCCTGGGCCCTCTCTCCGGAGAGACTTGGATTTCTTAGGTCTTTGATGTGTCTGGGGTATGGAGACTTTTGAAATCACCCCAGGTGGTTCTCATGTGCAGCCAAGGTTAAGAACCGCAGTTCCAGGCAGAGGAGACCATACGGGCAAAAGATGATGCACAATCTGACAGGCTTATGTCATGTTCAGGGAGACGTCTGAGCCCAAGGACTCATTGGACCCTGAAGTTTAGCAGCAGGTAC